GGCGTGTGGGGGCTGTGCTGGCTCTAGTGGAGGGCCCGTGACTCTGGTTCTCAGGCGCACTTGCCCTAGGGAAGAAGCACCCGCAGAGCGCAGGGGGTGGGGCGTGGCGTAAGAGGCTCAGGCCTCCACTGTGCTGCCCCCGGAAGTCAGTCCCTGCTGATGGGCAGGGGGGTAGCCCACTTCCTCCTCCGAGAGAGGGAAGGTTGCACCTGCCGCTGTCTAGGAAGCCCTCACAGAAAGTGAACAATCTCCTCTCATGTGTCCCAGGCAACCCTCAGATCCCTGCCTTCACCCTGTCTGTGTCCAGGCCATCTGCCACCCCCCCACTCTACCCGCCCTCCCCCTCAATGCAGTGCACCTGTGCTCTATACCAGGCACACTGGCTGTGTTCCAAATCTACAAACTTTAGGAACGTGGTGCGGCCAGGACCCCTACTGATCCTTTGGGGGAAGGTCTCCTATGCTGGGACTGATGAAGCTTTCGCCCAGAGAGGAAGCCACACCAAGGCAAAGGAGCTTGGAGTCTGGAAAAGTGCAGCCAAAAGCCAGCCTCAAGGTTAGCGGCGGCCCTCAGGGGGTGTCTCTGCCGTTATGCTAAGGGGCTGGGGGCGGGAATACGATGGTGCCCACTGGCTCTTCTGTACCCTCAGAGTCAAGGCCACCTCTCCCAGATGCTCCCTAAGAAGCAAGAACGCTCTTTCCCAGTGCGTCCCAGGGGAACCTCAGATCACACTCTCAGCTCCCAGGCTATCCACAGGACTACTGCTATGCCTGCCAGACTCCACACCAGCCACACTGCAGACTTCTAAAACTCCAGTCTTTGAGTTCTGTTGGTTGTTGTCAAAACTATCATCAACCCATCTCGTTTTCCCAGTCAATGACTTTGAGGAAGTGTTTGCTTTGTGGGATCCCCTATGCGCTCCTCTCTCCGTCTTTCTCTCCATCACTTCTCTCCATGACCAGGGCCCTCTCCCCGCTGCAGCCCCTGCAGTACCCTTCTCCCCCAAATCACAGCTCCGCAACTCCTACTTCCATGATGACATGGCCTCTTTTCTCCCTCTCACTGTGTAGTTTGTTCTGTTCGTCCTCAGATCACTGTCTTGGGTGTTCAGAATGATATGATGTTTATCTAGCTGTGTTCGAGGGATGAGGGAAGCCTTGGGTGCTCCCACTACTCTATCACCTTAGCTCTCATCTCTAATCTCGTTTTATTTAAAGGACTTGAGGTTGTGTCACAAAAGAGAGAAAGAATCCCCGAGGTTCTCTAATGTCATATATTTTTTTAAACAATGAACAGAATCACTGACAAGTATCTCACTTTCACTACCAAAGGAGAAGTTGCGCAATATTCTCTTCATACAAAATTCTTGTTTAAGCAGTTAGAAGGCAAACTGTTGGGATCCCAGCAGTTAGCACCAACAGAAAATAGCATTAATGTTATGAAAGAGTGCAAAGGTGGATTATCATGACTGAGAATGAAGGCAATGAAATGTTCCATCTCCCCCATAATCATGGTGATCTGGAGGATTCTTCCTTTGCTCTAGGGATCGAAGCTCCCGTTGGTTAAGGTGAACAGCAGATGGTGGAAAGACCACCCCCCAGGAGGGACAGTGGATGCAGGAGAGCACATCCCAGGGGCTCCTTGTAGCAACCTCAGCCTCTAAAAGACAGACAGGAGCTTGTTCAAGTGGCTGAGGAAATCCTGGGTCAGTCCTACTGCCCTCTAAACCCTTCTCCAGTCACTCCCTGTCTCAAAGACCTGTCCTCACTGATGGCCCAGCATCCCCCCCCCACACACACACAGCTCCCCAACCCCTGGGTCCAGAACCTGAACACACTCTTCCCTCATTAGCACAACAGAGTCAGCTCCAGGCCCCCTACCAAAAAGTGGGGCTCAAGACTAAAACTGGGGGGGGGGGAGTCTGGATGGCTCAGTCCTTGAGCGTCTGCCTTCTCCTCAGGTCATGATCCCAGAGTCCTGGGATCGAGCCCTGCATCGCATCGGGCTCCCCCCAGTGGGAAGTCTCCTTCTCCCTCTCCCACTCCCCCTGCTTGTGTTCCCTCTTTTGCTGTGCCTCTGTCAAATAAATAAATAAAATCTTAAAAAAAAAAAAAAAAGACTAAAACCAGGAATGAATCATCTGTTCCCTTTAATTAGATCTTGACCCACCCTTTGGATCAGAAGCCATAAAGGAAGGGCTGGGAGCCCTACCCAAAGAAAGGGACCTGAATCCTGGTTTCTGGATCGTTGGGGAGACTTTTAGACACAAATCTGTTTTCCCCTTGTCTTCAGCCTTTCCTCATCTTGGTAGCTGAACGCAAGATCTGAGTGTGACTGTCCCTGTCCTGCCACACCCTTTCCTGGTCCAGTCAGGTGACAGCATCCCATTCCAACAGCAACTCAATGCCCCCTCCCTCCTGAGGGACCTCTGCTCAAGCAGGGACAGTTCAGCTGGCTGGGGCTCTGGGCTCTGTAGGAGGCTAGCTGCCAGATGAGATCACCAGGGCTGAGCCAGGATTCCCAGGTATCCCAGGGGAGCTCTGGCCTTCAAATCTCATCCTGCAGAGTCTCTCCCATGGGCCCTCTGTCTTACCTGCCACCACCCAAGAAGAGTTGTGTGTTCTGCCTCCTTGAGGGAGAGCTGAGCATGCTACCTGTGGGTGGTCCTAGGCTTTGCCCCATCCCAGGAGCACATGGCTTTTATACCAGTGTTACTGGACCTAGCAACTTGGAGAAGCTCAATGATCATTACATTTTTTTTGTTTGAGAGAGAGAAGGAGAGAATGATGGGGTAGGGGTGAGGGGGGTGCAATGGGGGCAGAGGAGCAGGCTGAACCCTGAGCACTGAGCAGGAAGCAGGCAGAGGCCACGAGAGTAGACTTGCCTCTCAGCATCCCGGGTTCCTCACCTGAGCAGAAGGCAGATACTTACTGGACTGAACCACCCAGGTGCCCCAATAATGGCTTCTAATTAAAAAAATCAGATTTTCTCATACCAGTCAGTAAACAAGATACCATATTTATTAAGCAACTAATTGACCTGAATTATGTAAAAGTGAAGAGGAATTGGCTTCCAATTTTAGGCTAAATTTGATAAGTAAAAGTTTAATGAAAATTTTAAGCAATGTGACATTAAAGATTTGTCATAATAAAAGATGGTGTGTTTTAAGAAATAGTTCTGGCAGGACTTAGTTAACCTTGGAATTATATGAATGTATAAAAAGTTTCCTTTTGGGGCGCCTGGGTGGCTCAGTGGGTTAAGCCGCTGCCTTCGGCTCAGGTCATGATCTCAGGGTCCTGGGATCGAGTCCCGCGTCGGGCTCTCTGCTCAGCAGGGAGCCTGCTTCCCTCTCTCTCTCTCTCTCTCTCTCTGCCTGCCTCTCCATCTACTTGTGATCTCTCTCTGTCAAATAAATAAATAAAATCTTAAAAAAAAAAAAATAAAAAAAAAAATAAAATAAAAAGTTTCCTTTTGAGTTTTCTGGGTAAGATTCAGTTTCCAATCACTGGCTTTTTCCCCTTCATACGCTCTGGTTATATAATACAATATTTCAAGTTATATAATACAGTATTTATTGTATTATATACAAGTTATATAATATATACAATATACAATATATACAATATGTATTATAATAATATAACGATATAACAATATAATATATATTTAATAATATATAATATATACAATATATACAAGTTATATAATACAATATTTCAACTTTCAAGTTGAATTTTTAATATATTAAAGTAATAGATATTTGTGTTTTTTAAAAAAGCAACAAATAGGGGCACCTGGGTGGCTCAGTGGGTTAAGGCCTCTGCCTTCGGCTTGTGTCATGATCTCAGGGTCCTGGGATCGAGCATGTCAGGCTCGCTGCTCAGCAGGAAGCCTGCTTCTCTTCCTCTCTCTCTGCCTGCCTCTCTGCCTACTTGTGATCTCTGTCAAATGAATAAATAAAATCTTTAAAAAAAAAAAAGAACAAATATACAGTTCAATAATATTAACTATTGTCACTATGCTAAACATTAATCCCCAGAATTTATGAGTCTCATACCTGCAAGTTTGTACCTTTTACCACCTTTGTCCATTCCCATTGTCCTTCCAAGTAGAGTTTTCTTGCTTATTTGTGAGATTTTCAATCTTTTCATAGGCTTATTTGCCATGTACTGCAGCTTTGGAGAACCATACTTGTTGCAATGTGTTTGTAGGAGCTCTTTATATATTCTGGATACTCATCCTTTGTCCATGATAAAATAATTTTTTATTACTATTTTTATTATGCTTTGTTAGTCACCATATAGCACATCATTAGTTTTTGATGTAGTGTTCCATGATTCACTGTATGCATATAACACCCAGTGCTCCATGTGATACGTGCCCTCCTTAATACCCACCACCAGGCTTACCCATCCCCCCCCCCCCCTCCCCCCCAAAACCCCCAGTTTCTTAGAGTCCACAGTCTCTCATGGTTCATCTCCCCCTCTGATTCCTCCCCCTTCATTTTCCCCTTCCTTCTCCTAATGTTCTCCCTGTTATTCCTTATGCTCCACAAGTAAGTGAAACTGTATGATAATTGACTTTCTCTGCTTGACTTATTTCTCTCAGCATAATCTCCTCCAGTCCCATCTATGTGATGTAAAAGTTGGGTATTCATCCTTTCTGATGGCTGAGTAATATTCCCTTATTTTTATGGACCACATCTTCTTTATCCATTCGCCTGTTGAAGGGCATCGCGACTTTTAGAAGCAGATCTGTTTCCTTCTTGAAGACTCACTGTGCCTTGAAGGAGGTGAGTTGGAGGGGAGGAATCAAAGGAGAGTCACTACTGGAGATGTCTGGTCGGAGAAATCCAAATCTCATTGCTTCATTTCCAGAATTTTTTCTGCACCCAGAGTGTCAGGATCATGTTTGACACTTACAGATGACTACTTGAGAGGTGGTTTCAGAGAGACTGAATGCCACTTATTTCCACTGCGTTATAATGTAAACTTCTGAAATAATGTAACCTTTAAAATTTTATTTAAATACTTATTTAAAGGATAAATTAAAGTTTAAAGGATAAACTATCATAAATATAATCTTGTTCTATTTAAAAGATCTGAGTCTCAAAAGAAAGAAGCCCTGAGATTCTCCACTTTCACACAGGATTCTTTCAGCAATGAGCAGCTTGTGATATTGACAAGTGTCTGATTTCCAGTACCAAAGGAGAACTTGGGAAATATTCTCTTTGTTCAGAATTCTTGTTCAGGCAGTTAGAAGGCCAAGTTCAGGAATCCCAACAGTTAGCACCAGAACATCAGTGTTAAGAAAAAGTGCAGAGGTGGATCATCATGACGGAGAATGAAGGCAGGGAAATACTACATCTCCACCATAATCACAATCTCCCAGAGAACTGGAGGATTCTGCTTTCGCCATAGGGATCGAAAGTCCCGTTGGTGGACATGGACAGCAGGTAGAAGGTCACTCACCAGAAGGGAGAGCAGGTGCAGGAGAGCACATCCTCAGGCCCTTGTTTTAGCAATTTCAGCCTCTAAAAGAGAAACAGGAGCTTGTTCCAGTGGCTGAGGAAATCCTGGGTCAGTTCTCCTGGGCTTCTCCCTCCCTAGTTACTGCCTGGCTCAAAGTCCAGCTCACATTGAGGGTCGAGTATCATCCTACACTCCCCCCCGGTCCTGGGCCACCCAAGTCCTGGGTCCAGCAGCCTGACCAAACTCTTCCCTCATTACCACAAAACAGTCAGCCTCAGGCCCTACTCCTGAACACCTAGGCTCAAGACTAAAGCCACCAATGAGTCATCTGTTCCCATGACATAGATCCTGGCCCTCCTCTGGTGGGAAGGCCTGAGAGAGTAGCTGGGCGCCCTACCCAGAAAGCGACCTGGATCCTGGTCCCTGTAGCCTTGGGGAAGGTTACAGGCAAAGATCCATCTTCCCTTGTCTTCAGCCTCTCCTCGTCTTGGTAGCTGAACACAAGGTCTGAGTATGACTGTCCTTGCCCTGCCACACCCTTTCCTGGTCTGGTCAGGTGAGAGCATCCCATTCCAACAGCAACTCAATGCCCCCTCCTGAGGCACTCTGAGGCACCTCTGCTCAAGGTAGGGGCAGTTCAGCTGGCTGGGGCTCTGGGCTCCATAGGAGGCTAGCTGCCAGGTGAGAGGACCAGGGCTGAGCCAGATATCCCAGGGTTCCCTGGAGCTCGGGCCTTCGAATCTCATCCTGGAGAGTCTCCCATGGGCCCTCTGTCTTAGCTGCCACCACCCAAGCTGAGTTGTGTGGGAGCAGAACCCTGCAAGCCAGCCTTTGGTTGGGTGGGCAACAGCCTTCCCACCCCTCTTCTTTGGTTCAGCATGGAGATGCAGCATGGAGAGGTCCCCATCCCTAGGACACATCACGTGCAGCCACCAGCTGCTCTTCCCCAAACCAGAGTGTTATCCATGCCCGATGCTCCCCGATGCTCCTACTGTCTGTACACCACCCCCCACTCAGGCGCCTCCCCAGGTGAAAAGCTGGTCTGAGCCAGGCCTGATTTTGCTCAATCCTTTTAGCAAAAACAGGATGTAAAGTTTGGGGTTAGGGAAGGGAGAGCCCTGTGCTTTCCCACCAGCTTTAGCGAGGCGCTATCAGAGCTCAAGGCTAAGCTTGCCCAGGTAACTACTATCAAGCAATGTAAGAATCCTTTTACAGGTCAACTCAACTGGGCCAAGGGATGCCCCAGTAGCTAGGAAAACATTCTTTCTGGGTCTGTCTAGAGAGTGTTTCTGGAAGAGATGAGCATTTGAATCAGTAGACTGAGTAAGGAAGACTGTCCTCATCGAATCCACAAGGGCCTGAATGGAACAAATGGTGGAGGAAAGGTGACGTTGCTCTCAGTTTGGCTGGGCCATCCTTCTCCTGCCCTCAGCATTCATCATTAGCACTCCTGGACCTAGTTTTGTTCTTTTTGTTCTTTGGACCAGGACCTAGACTTACACCACTGATGCCCTGATTCTCAGGCATTCAGGTTTGTGCTGGAACCCCACCACCAGCTTCCCTGTTTCTCCAACTCACAGACCCCCTAGTCATGAGCCAATCCCTTGTAATAATTATCTACCTCAACCTCTACATCAGCAGCTCCTAATGAGTCTCTTTCTTGGGAGAAGCTAATATAGTCCAACACATCTGGTCTCATATTCAGGTGAGAAGGTTCAGGCAATAGGACAAGGGCTCGCTATTCACCTTTCTTTGTGCTCACCTCAGGCCATCTGCCTCTCACTTCTGACTCAATTCTGCCCACAGTACCTGTTACTCAAAGGACTATGCCTTGAACGACAAGGAGGATTGAGTGCGTGAGGACCACAAGGAAGACAGAAGAGATCAGCCTGATGGCTGCGCCTTTGACCAGAGCTACATGCAGGGTTGTGGCCGGTGCTCCTGAAATGGAAACACAATAGTGAGGACCCTGGTCTGGATCCCCAAACTGGTGGCATAAGTCTTTAACTGCTGCTGCCCCAGGTAATCCTACAGCCCAGATGTCCTCCTTCTACCATGTTTGTGGCAGCCACTGTGACCAGTCCTGAGGATGAAAGGGAGGGCGGTTCATGCAGATCATACAGCTAATGGGGGAAGCAAGGCTTTTCATATAGACAGTCACTCCTGCTGTGACAGAAGAGGAGGGGATATGTATGGATGGTTACAGAGACATTTTGTCAGGAGCTGACATTTCACCTGGCATTGAAGGATTTCAAGAAAGAGAGCAGGGGAGACGAAAAACAACAATGAAGCTCAGAAAAGGGAACAGTAAAAAGTAAATCTCTGGAAACGGAATGATGCCTTCAGCTTGGGGCCAGCAAGAAATCGACAGTGAAAGGACCAAAGGTATGTGCAGTAGGGAGAGATGCCAGGACGTGAGACAGGAAAGGAAGGTAGCTAGGACATACTAGTGGCCCTTTCACTCCTAAGAACAACTCATCATGTATGCATCACTGACACACACACGCACACAGCCCATACTGTGGGGCAGGTGGAGCTCATCTCAGGAGAACCAGCAGTCCATCCAGTCTTCTGAGTTACCTGTGGTCTCCTGCATTTCATCCCAGCGCTCCCACACTTGCTGAAGCCAGCTCTGACAGTCTCCGCTTGAGGTCCTCACGAGCAGCCTGGTCAGCTCTCTGTCACCATCCAACATGTCCTTAACCTGTTGGCCTCCAGAATGATCCACTGTCCACTTTCTGTTCTTCGGGTCAAAGAGGTAGGTTATCGGCTCATTGAAGCAAAACTGCCAGGATTCTCTGGTGTGTCCGTCGGCCCCACGCTCACACGTGAGCCTGCCCTGCATGGTGAGAGAACCTGCACCCGCCCCCAGCGGGGGAACAAGTCAGCCTCTGGTCCTGACCAATCCTTTGTCCCACCCGCTGTGCACTCCTCAGCTCACTCCCAGCCCTCCTGGTCCTGCTCTGGCCTCCTTGTCTACACTAGCTGCTGGCCGCATGTGTGGGACCCACTTCCAAGATTTACATGACCACAATAGCTCTCTGGCCCTGCCAAAGTGTTCCCCTTCTACCCTGGGCCTTCAGACTTACCGATCTTAGTGAAATTCTCTGCTTTGATGTCCAGCAGTTTCTTTCTGAGCTCTTCCACCAGGAGTTTCACAGTTTCCTCCTGTTTCTGCCAAAATGCTGTGTCCTTCAGCTTCATCCCCCAAGGACCAATGGGTTTGAACTCCTTGGTCTGACAGTCATAGGAAAGAAACGTTTTGCCATTGATCTGGCCTGGAATCTGACACCATGGCTGTCCAGGCCTAGCCTGAGATGTGATGAAAAAATGGTAGGAAAGTGAGAGAGCATCTGTGAAGGGAAAACACAGGTGGAGGTTGGGGCTGGAAGTAAAAGAGCAGCAGGCACCCCTCTGCCATCCAGGTGACAGCACTAGAATGTGGGCAAGACAGAGCAAGGACTGTCCCTGCACAGCAGCTCCCCTAGCCTTGGAGGCTGGTGCTCTTCCCTTGTTAGGATAGGATCAGGATGCCTCTGCCTGGTAGGAGACCACATAGCCCCAGATAGGACCCACGCCTACCAGGCTGATACCCAGCATCACTCTGTCTCTACCCACTCCAGGCACAGGCCAGGCAGGCTATGGAAAGAAGAGGTCTACATGTCCGAGGACTGTCAGGACGCAGGCCAGTGTCGTGTAGGAAGATGAGGGGCAGGGAGGGGGCTGCTCCTGAGGAGCTGGGTCAGGGTGGGGGCAGGGTGAGGACAGACTCCAGTCAGAGAAGGGTGAGTTCAGGACCATGCATCACAGGACTCAGCAGGGCCCTGGAGATGCTGATAACCTGCCCTTAGGATGGGTCTTGGAAGCTTGGAAAGGGTGGTCCACACTGCACAGACTAGAATAGCAGGCATAACCAAGGCAGATAGAAGGCTCAGAGAAGTGCATATGATAGAACAGATATAGCAAGGAATGCCAAACACGAAACCACATGTCCTGCAACTATGCTCATGGACAGGTCTGTAGGACTCTTTACAAATAAAATAAATAAATACAAAAATACCTTATCCTGGATGCAAGGAAAGAGATGAGTACCAAACTTAAAGCCTCTCTCAGGATGCAAGGATGTGCATGAACCCTATTCGATTTTCATTGAAATGCCAGCCTGGTGCAAAGATTTTCTGTGTCTATTGAATATTGCATAGGTCTCTGTTGTAACCACTCAACGTGCTTTTGTAGCTGGCAAGCAGCCATAGGCAATCCATGGATGAAGGGGTTGCTCCCTGGGCCCCAGGACCCTTAGAATCCACACCACAGAGCCCTGTGGGAAAATGGGCTCTGTGCCCTTTGTGACATCCTTATCTGAGTATCAAGAAGAGAGCCCTAATGTTCCAGGCAGGCAATGGCACTCACAGAAGGGGAACTCACACCCTGTAAAAGAGGCTGCAGGCGCCTGGGACTGAGAGTGAGGAAGGCCTCTCTGAGGACATCAGAGCCGTGCACCCTGAGCTGGGAGGTGCTGGTGAAGGAGCGCCTGGCCTCCCACGGAAAGGGGGGTTGGGGTAATCCACTGCCCAAGTGTGCGGGCAAGTCCATCACACTTGGACTGGTTAAAGGCAGTGGGGACGGTGACTCATGCAAGGAGAGCAGGGGGAGTAGCTTTCAAGCACGGGATCCTGTGGCAGTCCCCTCCCTGAGAAAGCCCCAGATCATGCCCAGAGTCAGTGCCCCTGGGGGGCTTAGGTTCGGCTGGGCTCAGAGATGAGACTCCAGAGGCTGGGGAGGACCACAGATTTCCCGCGGTGCCCTCTCTCCCTCCGCTGTGCTCCCTGGCCCCCAGCGCTTGGCGGAACTTTCTGAGTTTTCTCCCTAGCCCTCGGATTCCTCTTACCTGCCTCATCCTCATCCTCCTCCTCCCCAACCCCCACCTTTTTTTTTTTTTTTTTAAGATTCATTATTTATTTTAGAAAGTGCAGAGGGAAGGGGCAGAGGGAGAGGGAGAGAATCTCCGACACAGCTCGAACTGAGCACAGAGCCCCAGGGGCCTGAGACTCCATCTCAGGACCCTGAGATCATGACCTGAGCCCGAATCAAGAGTCCCACGCTTAACCGACTGAGGCACCCAGGTGCCCAGAAGCTGCCTCTGTTTTCAGTCCTTCTCCTGGCCCAGGTAACAACCGCCCACAGACACCCTCCAGGCAGAAAGCGGCCCTCAGAGAATAACTGAGGAGAGGGGCTCCGTGCCATCGGGGCGAGAAGATTCCAGAACCGCTCCGCGGACACCATTTCCCCTCCCCGGTCTTACTGCTCACTCCCCAACACCTCGCTCCCACCCCCGGGTTCCACTTCTGAACTCACGGCTGCAGTCTGCTGTAGGACAGATCGGCAGGAAAAACCAGAGCAGAACAAGACGGACGCTGGAGCCCCCAGACCAACCCATTCTCCCACGTCAGCTCCTCGCGGCAACACTCTAACTGCGATTTGCGGTTTCTGCAGAGAATTTATCACTTCCAGGTTGACTCCGCCCTAGGACTCCCGGCCGTATTTCCTAGAATATATCAACCCTTTCTCATAGTACCGGTCGGCTCCTCTTCAACCCATTGTCCTGACCACCCTATCTTTTAAATCTTCATTTCCACCATCAGTATCATCCCTTCTTAGGGCCAAAAGATATAAGTTTCCAGTTATAACTTTAAAAAGTCATGTGGATATAGTGTACAACATGTTCACTGTAGTTAACCGTACTGTGTTGTATATTTCAAAGTTATTGAGAGGGTGGATCTCAAAACAAGACTTATTGTGCTGACCATTTCACAATATATACAATATCCAACCATTACGTTGTACATCGGAAACTAATATAATGCTGTATATCAATTATATCTCAATAAAAAATAAATTTAAAAAGAAGAAATAATACAAAACAGGATTTTCTTCTCTTCCAGTTCTGAAGGCTGGAAGATTGAGAGCAAGGCATCCGCAGAGCCATGTTCTGTCTCTCGGCTTCTGGACGTTTCCTGCCATGCTTGGCATTCCTTGACTCCAGGCGGCTGTCCTCTGATCTCTGTCTCCTTTGTCACAGGGCTGGCTTCTTTCTCTGCCTCTGTGTATCCACATGACTTCCTCCCTGTTTGTCTCTGGTCCCCTCTTACAAGGACAACAGTCCTATGGACGGTGTTTCACCCTAATTACCTCGTCTTCATGTGGATACAGCTGCAAAGACCCTATTTCCAAATAAAATCACCTTCCCAAACCACGAGTTAAGACTTCAGCATATCTTTTGGGGGAACACAATTCAACCCATAACAAAAGGCATAGAATCTATCATCCCATCCCTGCACCACCAAAAAAAGAATCATCCCTTCTTTTCATTTACCTTTAACGTTTCTTACTGAGATATTACTGACATATAACAAATTATTTTGAGGTCTACAAGAGTCAATATTTGTATGTATATTATTAGCTATAGTTATGTACCATATTATACATTACATCTCATGACTTGTTTATTTTATAACTGGAAGTTTATACTTTTTGACCACAAGAAGGGATTATTTGGAAAGTGGGAATGAAGACAGAAAAGACAGGGTGGACTGGTGAATGAAGAGAAGATTGAAATATTTCAGGAAATACAACCGGGCCCCAGTAAGTGGCATAAAGCTAGGGCACCTCCCAGAGTGGGCCGGGCAAAAGGTTTGGGGACAACCTGCTAAAATTTTTGAGGAAATTGAATACCAAGGTCCTGCGGGGAGACAGGGTTAAGACCAGGGCGGAAGTGGGTGTGGGATCCTAAATAGAAGCCTCTCCCCGTCTCACCAATCCTCCCCAAGCTCCCTTCTGCCTCGGGTCCTTTGTTGAGTGACAGTGGGCCTCTGGGCAGTCAGGAAGATGGAAAAGAGCAACATGGTTGAAAAAGTAGTACCAGGAGATGGGAGGAGGAGGACAGGAGAGGGAGAGAGTGCCTGGTGGGAAGCAAGACTTAAGACTTCTTGATGCTGGAGGGTTTTAGAAAAATCAGCCTGACTTTGCACAGATTATTTGCAGGATAGGGCAGGGCAGGGAGGAGGGGCCGCGAGTGGGGGGAGGAGGACAGGCACACCTGTGGCAGACATTACTCCCATTTGGGCGAGAACAGCACAGGCTCCTTGTGAGATGCCAACTGGAAGAGGAATCCACCCAGGAGCTAAGAGGAGAGGGTCTAGGGTTCAATCCCAGGGAGAGGAGCTGGACTCACAGCATATACAGCCTTCTTTCCAGAGGGCTTGGCCTCACCCGTGCAACGCATTACCACCTAGCCAGCAGTGCCACTGTCCACCAGTCTGCCAAGCCAGCTGCTTCCGAAGGTGGGGTGGAAGGGGTGGACAGACGGATGGACATGGTAAATCCAGTAAGTCCATGAGCAATGGGCCCACTGCCACATTCCCTTTCTTGTGAACCGAGTTCCTTGATCAGAATCAAGAAGTTAAGGAAGACAGTGAGGGTGGGATAAAGAATTTTGTAGGTCCACGGATGGTAGTTTTGGCAAAAACATTGCAGGCTAAGAAGACAAACCAGTATCACGGTAAGTATCTATTTCAAAAAAGAGGAATACTGTGACTTTCTGTGATGGAAGTGGTCCAGGGTCGTGAACCTGCCAGCGGGGTGATCACCCCAGGGAACGGTGCCATATCAGGGCTGTGTGGGTCTCTGCGGCTGGCAGGGTGGGCACTCAGCAGTGGGCACAGCCCACTCAGCCTTGGTGAATGCAGGTCTGTGCTACTCAGCCTGTGCCTGACATCCATTCCTGCCCCTTTGTTCCTGAGCCCCACTGGGCAATGTGGGCTGCCTGGGGAATCAAGCTGACTGATAGCCCCAGAGTGGTCATCCTAGCTACTTGATGCTTAAAATCCTCTTCTGAGGTCACCCTTTGGGGAGCATTCCCATGGGACACAAATATCCTTCTGTTCTCAGAGAATTCTATCCTCATACCTCTCCCCCAAATTTCTATGTCACCATGTTTCCAATTGGATTTTCCAAGTCCCTGGCTATCCAGCCAAACCATTGAAATATGCATCTAATTGCATATGTGTGCATTTCTCCTTCCCAGGAAAGTGTACCACCCAGGATACTGCCCAACGCCGTACCCACTCAGAACATTTCCCTTACCCACTGTCCTTCGGGAATAGTCTGGAGAAGGGCTATAAGGCTGAAGCTGTTCCTTTTCAGGTGGTACCTGTGGATCGTACAGAAGCATCTGGAAACCCAACACCAGTCCTGTCTTCCTCTGTCACTGATAGGTGGAGTTTCCCATGAGGCCATAGGTACAGGTTGGGAGAGAGGAGGCCGTAGGGTAGGAATGGGGACCATGAGCATTCAAGCAACCTATTCATGTAACTTGCTTATGCCCCAGGGCCTGATTAGGCCATATCATGTACTTACTGTTTCCATTTGACGATGGAGTGCTGCTGTGCTTACCCACTCTCAGACTTGATGGGCCAGAAAGCACCAAGCTCATGAGGGGCAGCCCAGGTTGCTTGGTGCCTCGGTGGCCCAGAGTCAGTGTTCAGTCCCCATGAAGGCCCTGAGCAGGCCAAGATCGGTTTTTCGAAAAGAGAATAGTTATCTGTAGGTGATGGCAGGGCCTTGCTCCAAATCCTAAGAGGTCTGCACTGTGCCCTACCCCTAAAGCCTTGTCAAAGGCTCCAGTATTATCTTTACTTGGAATAAGATGTACATCGTATCCATGTCAGTATCCTGGGTATGATATTGTACCACAGTATTTGTAATTTGTTACCCTTGAGAAAAACTAGAAAAGGAATACCTGGGACATCTCTATTATTTCTATGAGCTGTCGATGAATTTAGTGTATAGTTATCTCAAACTAAAAATTTAATTGAAAAACTTTTAATCTAAATAAAACCTGTTCCAATGTGAAAAATGAAAAAAAAAAAAGTCTGTAGAAACCAATAGCATCCCTATCTACCATTGATACCTCAGGCACCATTAAATCTGCTGGAATCTATGCTAATGGCAGAGTGGCTCATACAGCACCTTGGATCTGTCATGGAATATTCTCTGGATCTGGACCTAGAATGCTAAGAATGCTACAAACTACCCCTTTTGAACATGGGGTGGGGAGAGAGAAAATATATGTTAGGAAATGCAGAGATGGATGGATGGATGGATGGATGGATGGATGGATGGTTGGATGGATGGACGGGTGCATGGATGGATGGATTACTGGTGGGGTGTCTTGTGGATTTTCTCTGTGCAGCATCTATGACTCCAGATATTTCCCACCTGTTCTCCTGACACCTCTCTTTGCTATAAGATCTTCTTCTACAACGACTCATGGTCCAGTAATCCTGAATTTATATTTTTGACTCATAGATGCCTGTCAGCTCTTTATCTTTATTCTTTCCCCAGAAATCACTTTCTCCATTGTCCTACCTGGCTAAATACTATATTCTCCCAGGATTTATCTCCCATGAAGTCTTCAATCCCCTCCTGGAGAGAATCAAGCATGGCTTCTCTTGTGTTTTAACGTCTCTGACCAGTGTGGTCTAACAAGTGGTACTGTCGGTCTCCCTCAGTACAAATATTAGTTCCTTTAGGTTTTTGAGAACCAAGTACATCCTCCTAAAACAAAGTAAATGTATTCATTTTAAGGTGTTATTTTGAAAAAAAAAAATACAGGGCCAAATACACTGATTGCCATGAGGAGAGGCTTGTGATATGGAATTGCATTGAAACTGTGAATTGTGGCATTCTCTAACTCTGAAAGTGGGGGAAGGTCTGAGGTGTGCAGAGACGGGGTAGAGCCTAGGCCCTAGTGGAGTTTCCCTAGGTCCTTCAACAAACACAGGTTTCTCTCTTATAGACCCAAGGATGATGTGAAGATCAGAGAGTTCAGCTCAGCTCAGTAATAATCAAAACAATGGGAAGATGGGTGCCTGGGTGGCTCAGTGGATTAAGCATCTGCCTTTGGCTCAGGTCATGATCCCGGAGTCTCAGGATGGAGTCCCTCACTGGGCTACCTGCTCAGCAGGGAGTCTGCCTCTCCCTCTGCCCTTCACTCTACTTGTGCTCACTCTCTCTCTAATAAATAAATAAATCTTAAAAAGAAAATAGGCAGTTATTGTTTCCCTTTCTGTCTATCCTGGACCACAGGGAGCTGCCTCTTAGCTGGGACCCTGGCCAATGCCAACTCTTAGAGTGACTATTGAAGTCACTCTGTTAATCCCCTGTCTTATCCTACTGGTTCTGGGTACATGGAAAAAATATTTCCTTATGTTTTCCTCAATTCCAGTGCCATCCAAATAACTTCTGTTTGAGGCATTCCTTCTGGATTCTGACTCCCACTTTTGTTGTGTACTGTCCCTCTCTGTCCACAGGGCCAGCCTTGTGAAGATAAGGAAGACCCAAGTAAAAGAATGGTGACAGCCTACCCTCAAAATGGCTCTCAGTGATTCTGGCCTCCTGGTACTCATGCCCTTGTGTAATCCCTGCCATACTGAACAGGGATGATGGGTGCAACTCTCAGGATAGAATGCAAATACTAAAACATGACTTTCTAGTCCACATCACAAAAGACATTGATGTTTCCACCTTTCCCTCTTGGTTCTCTCACTCTGGGGAAAGCCAACTCTCGTGACTTTTTTTTTTTTTTAAGATTTTATTTATTTGAGAGACAGCAAGAGAGAGTGTGAGAGAACACCATCAGGGGGAGGGGCAGAGGGAGAAGGAGAAGCAGACTCCATGCTGAGCAGGGAGCCTGACACAGGGCTCCTAGGATCTTGGCCTGAGCCTATGGCAGATGCTTAACTGATTGACCCATCCAGGGGACCCCCAACTGTCATTTTCCTGAAGTAGTCCTATGGAGAATTCCTTGTGATGAGAAGCTGAGGCCTCCTGCCAACAGCCATAGGAGGGATCCAGCTTAGAAGCACCAGTGGAACCTGTATGCCTGATATCCCCCCTGTACCCCAGTCAAACCCTCTGATGAGAGCAACCTCAGTTAACATTTGACTGCAACCTCATGGGGGACTCTGAGCCAGAACCTGCCAATGCTCTTGCTCCTGAATTCTTGACCCACAGAAACTATGGGAGATAACAAATGATTATTGATGTTCTAAGCCATTAACTTTTGGGGAAATAAGCATCAACAGATAAAAAGAAATAATATAATATAATATAATATAATATAATATAATATAATATGATATAAGTAATTATTATTATATAATATATAATATTATATAAATAAGGAAATAATTTTTCCATGTACCCTGAACCAGTAGGATAATATAGGTGATCAACAGAGAGTGCCTTCAGTAGGAAACAGCTGGCAATGACCAGGGTCCCAGCTAAGAGACAGCTAACTCCCAGGGCTCCAGGAGAAAGAGAAAGTGAAAATATGTCTGCTCATTGTTTTGATTATTACCAAGCTGAGCTGCACTCTCTGGTCTTCACATCATCCTCGGGTCTTCAGGAGAGAAACCTGCATTTGTTGAAGGACCTAGGGAAACTCCACTTGAGGCTAGGCTCCAGTCTGTGCACACCTCAGACCTTCCCCCACTTTCAGAGTTAGAGAATGCCACAATTCACAACTTCAATGCGCTTCAATGTCACAATTCAGATTTTTGTACTTGGAAGTGGAACAAACTGTGCGGGTGGCTTTGCAAAGGGGAAGTCGGTGGACACTGGGAGCACGTTGACATATGGCTCAGAGAAAGCCTGCAAAGCTTTAAAGAAACTGTCACAGGAGCCTCATTGCATCTAAGGAAGCTGCCAGTAGGGACGCCAAGGAAAAGTGAAATACCAGGGCTCTTCTCTCCCCTTCAGAGCCAAGGTTGTCCAAGACAGGAAATATCTGAGGAAAGAGCAGGAGCTCTTTTATACCTAGTTAGTTATAGATCAAGAGGAGACTCCGTGAGGAAGGGCGGGGCAGGGTTGCTCAGGAGAACAGAGACGTGGTTAGGGCCATGGATTGTAGGCCTGAGAGACATCCAGTGAAGGCTTTTGTCAACTCCCTAACACCAAGGAGAGGCTATCCTCAGCGCACACTATGTCCAAAGTAATACAATACATCAATTCCTTAAACATTCACAGAACATCTAGAATGCTTAAGATCTTCTCCTAAAGAGCCAAAGCGACAAGAATGTTCTGTGTTCTCTGAGGAAGAGAACTAAGAGGGCTAATCAACCCAGGATGAGAGCCAGCCAGATGTACATGCGCCTAGAACACCGAATGGTATTCGTAGAGCAGCCAGAACTCTTAGAACATAGAAGAGATGAAATTAATTCC